AACAAATTCTACTTATATGATCTTCTGATCCTCCTCGTAATCTAATAAAATCTGTTATTTCCCGATCTCTTCTATATCTGATCTTCCTCATAATCTAGCCATATCCGATCTTCACTCAGTTAGGTATCAGATTATATTAATATATCTGTTATGTCTTCATACAAAGCGTTTGCTTCAGTCTTTTGCCAGCGCAATGAAATATCACTCCATAAGATTGATAGTAGCTGATCTTTGAACCACATAAACAATGACACCTTTTGTGTAAGTGCTCGAGTTTTCATTTGTTATCGCATTTCTCTGCACGTCTTTTGTTTGAAGCTCGTGTTTTTGCCCCGCACATTAAAGACTGATCGTGAGCCTTCTGATCTTTTGTAGCTTTGCGATCAATGGAAGTTTTTCCACAAGTGCCACAATTTTCATTATTTTGAGCTTTGCTTTTCATGGGCTTAATTGATCCTTAATTGACGAGGCCCGATTTATGAGAAAGCCTTATTCTGTTATGATCTGAACATTGATCTCTGTGCTGATCACCATTTTCTAGATCGACTGCGCACAGCTTGGGCTGGTAATTAATGTAAATAGAAAATGTAGGCTACTGATCTTTGAATTTTTGAATAAACACATAAATTTCTCCTGCAACTGCTCGACTTTTTGCTGTCTGCAGCGTTTTCTTTACTTATGCTTGTTAACTTTTTTTTTCTTCTGTGAAAATGTGCAGTTTTTGAGCATTTTATTTGGGTTATGTGCTGGGAACTTGTTTCTCTAATCCAGCAGCCAAACCTGCTGCCATCTAGTCTCTTAATCTCTGAGCCTGCCTGCCTGAATCTGTGCCCACTTACTTCGCCTCCTTCGCTTTGGCCCGTGCTCTCCGATAATTTCTATCAAACGCCAACGCAAACTGTCAGCCAAATAAGTGACTTTTTTTTTTGTGGACTATCTGGCAAGGCCAGCAGCTTGCGCAAGTTGCTCAGTGTCTCATTTCCATTTCCATTTCCATTCCACACACAGTGAGACTGGCCCACTCCCTCGATACGTGCCAAGGCGGCATCACTTGACGAAGATTGCACCTTAAATTTATTCGAAGAGCGACAACAAACTTTAACTCGAATTGCGTAAAGTTGTGAGGCCAAACATACGCGAGTGTTGAGTGCGCATTCCGTCTGGTTTGTGGCACAAGTGCGCGACAATTGCGCAAGCTTTGTGACATTTGCCCTCGACAATTGTCACACGCCCGCCCAAAATGGGCTCATTATCAATGAAAACACCAATCTAATTCATTAGACGCCGCTTATCGCTGCGATTATCGCAACTGCCAGAGCAAACCATAACAAAGTTGTGCAAAGACACAGCTGAAGATAATTTCTATTACTCGTGTAACTCGGGAACTTTTCGAGTTGGAGATATGCAAATTGGTGTGTAAAAGCTCTGTTAGGAGATTTAGTTAAAATTGCCATTACTTAAATATCATATCTGATTATTCCTCCACATGTCCATTAATACGATAAGCGTGCCCATGGAACTCAGGATCTATTGAGGTTAGAGCTTTGAAATTTGGTATGTAAATACTCTATTATGACTTATTGTTGAAACTACAATCACCTAATTAGTACACCTGATATTCCTTGACTTGTCAATAAAAATACAAAATGTTCTCATGGAACTCAGGATCTATTGAGGCTAGAGCTCTGAAATTTGGTATGTGTTTACTTCTTCAAGAGTTATACTTGACATTTTAATCAGTTTAAGTATACACCTGATTATACGCCCACTTTTCAATAAGAGTACCAACTGTTCTTATGTAACTCAGGATCTGTAAGAGCTAAAGCTCTGGAATTTGTTATGCAAATACTCTACAAAGAGATATAGTTAAAAGTTAAACCAGTTTTTTTTGTACGCCTTTAGGCTCCCATGGAACTCAGAATTTGTTGGAGCTACAGCTATGATAATTGGTATGTAAATGCTTATGTGAAATATAAGTTTTAAGTCAATTTTATGCATTTGCCATATTCGAGCTAAAATACAAACAATTTTTGGTTTTCAACGAACTGAAATAAAGGTATGTTTCATTTATGTCTGATGCTTCTAATTGAGCACACTTTGAGAAAGGGCAATCTTTGTGCCCTTTGAACTTGGGCTCTATGAAAGTTATAGCCATGGGATTTGGTTTGTGCACACCCCATTGATAGATATATTGAAACGTGCTCAAATCTTATTGATATGCATAGTCTCGCGGAACTGCAAAGTGACTTAAAATATATATTAAGCAAATTCACACTATTCTGCATCTTTGAGCATTGCATAACGCGAGAGTTATGCAAGCAACTAGTTCGTTGGAAAAAGGATACTTTAACACTTGGCGGTGGGCTAAGCCCACTCGCGGCTCGGTTGCGGTGTCACAAGCGAGAGAGAGAGAGAGAGACTCGAGTGCGGTTGTCTGGCTGAAGTGCGTGCGTGATAAACGCCTACGGCAGCCGCCTTTTTGGCTTCCTCAACTGTGGACGACTTCCTTGTTTTAGCCAGTTTTGTTTTGACGGCGATTATGTAAGGGCGGGCGGCCAGCCACCGCCTCGAAAAGCCAAGCGAAGTGAGTGAGAGAAAGAAAACAAAACAACTGATGCTTGCACGCATGCGCGCACAGTGTGCCACGCCTTAAACAAATGCTGCATGCCTTGCAACATTTTCTGTGGTTGCACAAATGAGCCGTGCCATCGACAGGGGCATCATAATACCAGCAGCAGCAGCAGCAGCAGCAGCAGCCGTGAGTTATGTATCTTTGTATCTGTTGGATGTGCGCTCGATTCGCAATTTCGCATTGCAATTAAAATCGCGCAGCTTCCGCAGTGCAATGAGCCATTTGATGATCATTAACGTGACGTTAATGTTGTTGCACAGCCCTGATCATTATCGCATAGATATATATATAAGCTGGGCTCGTAATGTCCTCCCTGCCAGCCTGTTTGCATTTCTCGTCGCGTTTGCACTTTTACTTTTCTTATTGTCAACAAATATGGAATACAATTGAAATACAACACAAAAAAAAACGTACATATTAAAAACTTTCCCAAACGTTGAGAAGTGCTTTGATATAAAAACAACAAGCTGCAACGCTTTCTGTTGTTGTTGTGAAATTTTTTCTCGAGCTGCTCGTAAATTTTATTTGAATTTCTTGTGGCGATTATTATGATTAACGCGCTTATCTGAGCACATTTTTTTTTTCGGCTGGCTTTTCAGTTTTTCCAAGCCGGTTTCTCGTTTTTCGTTTTTTTAATTGAAATTAATTTCCTACAAAGCATTTCCCACAGCTTTAATTTATTGCCGCTCGGCTTTGTTGCTTTTGTGGACACTTTTCCGAGATTGATGCGTTTCGATTCCTTTGGCAAGCTGCGTTCATTTTCCTTTTATGCTCGACGCGAATTGAGCTTTATTCAAACAACAAAACCGTTTGTTAACTGTAAAATGTCGAGCCTATGCCCCACTTAAGGGGCTTGTCTTTGTTCTCAAGTTCAAGGCGTTGTTGTTGTTGTTGTTGTTGCTGTTGTTCTGGCCCTTCCCCTGCCCCTTCCATCTGCAGCCAGCACCTGTCTTGGCTGTAACCCAATCTGTTGCCACGTGCAGCAGCTCGGTTTGGTAATTGGAGACAAGAACGGCACAACAGGTTGCGCCTGGTCGCTGCCACGTGCAGCTAGCAAGTTTGTTGCTTAAGTCTTTTGTTTTCTTTTTCTTTTTTTCTCATTTTTTTTTTGTGACACATTTGGCGCTCAGCCGAGTCGCTGCTCTCGCTGCTTGCTGACCCAAACAAACATCCGTTTCCTGCGGTCAACACGGACGGACACGCCCACTAGCTAAACAAGCCCATATCAAAGTGTGCACAGTGCACGCTCGCTAAGGTGCACCAAATTGTTAACTATGAAAATAGCTTCAATTTGCAGCTTAACTGATTTGTCTTGTCTTCTATGTAAATGGATTTTGTTTCTGGAAAGTTTTTACATAATATTTGTTGCCATTTTGTTCACTATAATAAGCGCACACTGTACTCTATAGAAAACACAATGATATTATGTATAATTACAATAGGTGCGATTGCCTTTTCCGTGATTCCACACAGGCGAGGTGAATTTGGCGAAAAGCGTGAAACAAGCTCACGAATAACCTTAATGAAATGAGTTTGTTTTCCTTTTTCACGAAATTTCCACACTTGTGCGTGGAATTTCTAGAAACTTCGTTAAATATTGTGCATTAATAACGTGACATGAGCTAAGTACAGTAAAACTTGATGCACTTTTGTTAGTCTTATCGTATTGATATGCCATCCAAAATCGTTCACTTAGAGCTAAGTTTTCAAGAGGGTCGCAACTAGATCATAAGTTGGGGAACCTAATCGATAAAGTCGTTTTAAGAAGGGGAATTACTTTATTGTCAAGCCTTGAGCTGCCATCAGTCAATCAATTAGGGAGTCTGGGTATATAACTCCAAAGAGTTTTGTTAAACTTTCTGATTTTTTAGGCAGCTTATAAAATCGATGGCAGTTGACGCTAGCGTGTGTTTACTGTGCCTGCAATATGCATATGAGCACGGCTTCGTTTCATTTGTCGCGCGTATCCCACGAAACAATTAACGAGCACAAAAGCTGACCGATATAAAGCGAACAACAACAACAACAGCAACAACAACAGCAACAACAAGTTGACCAATTGCCGGCACTTGACTAGAAGCTGGACCCTGTCGTAGCTGTTGTTGTTGTTGTCGCTTTATGAACGTGGGAAAAAAAAGTGCACAGGCCGCGCGTCGCTTTTTTGTTTCAAAAGAGAACCGGAAATCAAAAGCCAGCGACAAAAGTGTATGCAAAAAATGCGCCCCAAAAATATAAAAAATAAAAACAAATACCAAAAATAAAATGGGTAGAAAAAATGAAAAAAAATAAAAATAAATAAATAACAAGCGAGAGAAAATTTGTTTGCCTTCTGTTTCGCAGCATTTCGTCTTTCGCTTGACACACTCACCTATATTCTGCGCCTGCGTCTGCGTTTGCGTCTGCGCTGACGCCAGCAGCAGCAGCAGCAGCAGCAGCAGCGCTGGCAGCGGCAGCAGCAGCGACTGCGTGCGTTGCATTTTGTCGCTCACTTTTGTTGATCTTCTGCTGCTGTTTCTTGTTCTTCTTGTTTGTTTTACTTTTTGGAAACTTTTCTCCTCTAGGTTGTTTTTTTTTTTTGACTTTTTGGCTTTTTGGTTTTTTCTTAGAATTTGCAATTTGTTTTCACACTTTGCCTTTGTTTACACGTTTCTTGTTTTCTTTGAATGCGCAAAAGTTATGATTGTTTCTCGGCAGCAGAAATTAATTTTTAAGAAATAAACAACAAATTGTGCAGAAATCTTTTGCGATTTGCGTTGCGGCCAGCTGGGCAACAGGTGCGCCTGGAAAGTGTGTCAGCCGAGCCGAACTTGTTTATCCTTTGCACACAACAAAAATAGAAAAAAAAATTGTTTGACAAAAACAACAAAAAAAAAAAAAACAACAGGCAAAAAAATGAATGCGCACAATTTCTCGAGCACCAGGCGCGTACCGTTAGGTCGTGTCAGACCGTTAGACGTGAAAAGTCGCGTTCGAAATTGCCTGGGCAACAATTAATTAAATTATAAGACGCGTCGCGCTGCGCACAGTTCCGTTCGCTTGGCGTTCAGCACGGCAACTGAATTCGTGGCCGTTCGCCAAGTCGAGCTTAAGCCGACGTCGCCTCGACTCTCTCTCGCTCTCGCTCTCGCTCACACACACTCTCTCAACGACACGAAGACGCACGCGCAGCCGAAGCAATACGAAGACGTTTTCTTTCACTTTTCACGCACAGGCGCTCTCTCGCTCTCTCGCTCTCTGTGTCTTGCTTTTGCAGCTGTGGTCGAATAACCAACCGTCGTCTCGTGCAGCTCGAAAGCAACTGAAAGTTCGCGTCGCCGCGTTGTGCGTCTTGTAAGCTGTCAGCGTCGCAGCGCTGCATGCGTGCTGCCCGCTGCTTGCTGCTTGCTGCGCTGCCGCCTGCTGCGCAGCCACTTGCTGCGCTTTTGGCAAGTGGGCAAAGCTTGCGCAGCCGAAGCTTAGGGCTTTCGATGCGTTTGCTCTATCGATCAATGGCAAATTGTTGGCCAAGAAAGTTGCCACTCGCCGTCGCGCTGTGGATGCCACAAAACGGTAATAACAGCTAATACAGGTTATGCAACTGCGGCAACTGCTGGCCAAGTGCTCTGGCCACTGCACCAAATTGCAGCCGCAGCACAAATAATTCTTTGTGGCAAGTTGTGCCGTTGCACAAGCATTTGCATGCCACAGCAACAACAACAACTGCAACAGCTTTAAGTATGCCAAATGGTCAGCAAATTGGAGCAGCCATCGATGCCAGCATTTGGAGCAGTTGCTGCCACTGCCACAAAAACAAAAACAAAAAAAAAAGTAGAAGAAAAAACCGGCCAACGCACAATTTGTGTGTGGCACATTTGGGCCAAAATGCCAGACCCGAAAAGGCACCCCTCCCCAAAAGAATATGCTAACAAACCGGCGGTGACATCTGCGATTCGCATGCCCCATATCGGGTATGCCCGGCTGCCCGCAGAGCGGCTGCCGGAATTTGGCTGTTCTTGTTGCCTTTTAAGGCTAAAATGCGGCAATGCTAGCCGCAGGCTGACAACTTGGTTGGCCACTTTTTTTTTCACCCATTTAATAGAACGTGATATAATTAATGGGAATCGAAATAAGAATTTAATATATACAAGTTCCAATTTCAGATGAGAGCAGAGGAAACATTTTATGTAGAAACTATCTTGAGGATAAACCAAGCGCTACTTTAACTTTAACTTGCTGAAAACTTGCCAAAATATTTGGTTTGAGTTGGGCTTATCTCAGCTTGGGCTCTGTGAAGAATGTTAAAAAACTTTCTTTTTGAGGTATTGAAAGTCGTTAATAGACCATTTACAATGTACTTTACAAGTCAGTTTACTAGTCATCATTTTTCTTCTATGTATTTAGCCTCCACTGGGGATCATGGCACTCCAGATGCTCTATTTAATTCTAAAATTCGCTTGCAGTTCCGCTGCCAAGTTCTGGGAGCATTTGCAATGAATTTTACAAGTCAGTTTGCAAGTTAGACTATTTACCAATTTGGGTTTTTCCTTGGCTATTCAAGCTACAATTATATTATATATGTTATTCCGAAATTGTCCAACATAATTCCTTTGCCAAGCTCTGAGTCGTTCCACATGAAGATCGGCTGTCATTTGATTGAACGATTGTGCAAGGTAGTTTGGCTTATGGGCTGAGCGTTGGTTCTGTGCTGGTTCTATTCTAGCGGGAGAAGAATGAACATCATAATTGGCCAGGCGAATGATCATTTGGTTACAGCCATTTGAGTCAGGTAAATGAGCTTGGTGCTGTGCTGTGCTGTGCTTGGATGTGCTTTACTCGGTTCGCTTTTGGAGCATTGGCTGGGCGAATTGTCATCACAATTTTGCGTGTTGTTTGTGCTTTTAACCCAGTTTGAAATGCTGCTGCAGCGGCAAAAACAATGACAACGTTGCCGCAAGTGATGACGGCGGCAACAACAAGCACGCTGATTGCAACATTTTGTTTAGCCAGCAGCCACTCATCAAGTTGTCAACTGCCAATAGAACTGGGCGCAGCAGCTGCTCCATTTCCATTACGGTGTTCATGTTTGACAAAAATAAAAAAAACCATGACTTGCATCGTTTCTAACCTTATTCTTTGCGTGGCGCCACCTGTCGCACATAATGCCTGAATCATCAAAATAAGGCTAAGCTGCCTGAGTGTGCTGTCAGGCACTAATCCAATCATATTGTAGGTGGACAAATTTAGAGGGGTGTCGAATTTTGATTCCACTCATTCCTAACCTCACACTCCGCGTGGCGCCACATGCCGTCTGCTCTAGTTGAGCTTATGTGAAGCTCTTTGAATGCCTTGCAGCTAGTTGCCAAATCATATTGTGTCCTCTAACATAAGCAACATGTGCTTTGGCAAATGTTTCATTTCCAATCATACCTAACCTCACTTAAATGACGCATCACAATTAACGTTAGACACTTCTCTTTGAGGTTATGTGCTTCACTACAAAAGACGCTTTGTGGCTTGCAGTTAACAGTTATGCACATTGCGTTAGACAAACGAATAAGATTTGATTCGGAGGTAATCTCAATGTGTGCGTGGCGCCACCTGTTGTACGCGCTGCTCAACTCGTTGAGGTTAGGTTAAGCACTCTGAATGCCCAGTTAACAGTTAACTAATCAAATTGTGCCTATGACTGCAGAAACATTTAATTAGACAATGAGGAAACGGCTTTTGGCACGGGCTGAAGCTCCGGCTGTTGATGGGGCAGCTACCTGGTAGATGCTGGCTGTTGGCGGTTGCTTCTGCCACCGCCCAATTGTTACGCTTGGCGGCGACGGCATCGGCGGCGGCGGTGGCGGCGGCGGTGGTCAATGTGGTCAGTGGCTGGATGCAGCGGCTCAGCGGCACGTGGGCCACAGACGCCCACCAGGAAATCAACTGAAGCGCACGCAACAACTACAGCCAAGAATGTTGGCCCAAACCAACCTATCTTGGCCCGCTCTCCTTGTGGCACTACCCCTCTCCCCAAATCTGGCAAACGTGCCGCAGCCGGCCAAGCACAACGAATTGCTGCATTTGCGTTCACGATGCTCAATTAAGAGTGAGCCCCGCTTCTCTCGTTTCTCTCGCTTCTTCTGCTGCTCTGCTCGCCCCACAGTTCCAGTTCTAGAGCCAGTCGCCCCCCTCCCCCTCTGCTCTAGCCTGTTGCCGCTTCATTTTCTATTTAGTGCTTTATTATTTTTAATTTCCAGCAAAGTCTCAAGATTAATGTTCTGAGTCGCTGCCTGCCAGCTGCCAACTCTAAGTCGCAGCGCCCAGACACAGTTCTGCTGCTGCTGCTGCTTCTTGTTCTTGTTCTTCTTCTTCTTGAACTGGTAGCTGCCGCATGTGGCGCATGTGCAGCAGTTGCCCTGCAGCTCCCCTGACACAGCGCATGCTTCATTGCCACGAGCCAAATGCTTGGAAAATAGGTTTGCAATGCTTGCGCCATTTTCCATTTTCCATTTTCAATTGCAAGCGCAAGAAATGGACATACTGCGAGTTGCAAACAAATTCAAATTCAATTGGATTATTAAATTACATTTATAGTTGCATCATAGTTAACGAACTTTTTGGATTAGCTTATTTTTTGCTGGAATATCGCTTATCTTCAATTTGATCTAGCAAAAAATATAGTAGAGCGCATTTCAGTGTTGAAAAACGGTTAAAGATAAACTTGAAAAAGGTTTGAAAGCGCCAAGTAGCGTGTCTTAAGCAGCATTTAGTACGGTTTACTATTTGGCCCCTTGGCTTTTAACGCTTATCATGAAATATAACAAGCTGGAACAGTGTTGGGAAGGGCCACAAGCTAGGCTGACTTCTAGTGTTTGAAAGCCACAAAAAAAAAAAAAATGAAAAATCAGTCTTAAGAGTGTAGAAAAGAAGTAAATTATAACAAATTATAAAAATTTCAATTGAAATGAATGTCACACAAACAAGATACGGAAACGTGTCATATGCAGTGTTGGTTAACATCTAAATATAAGCTTTAACAGTGCTGAAAAAGGCTAAATTGTAAATAAAATGTGTATTAAAAAATCATTTTATATACAAATGAATGTCACATAAACAATATACAGAAATTTGTCATATGCAGTGTTGAAGAACATGTTAATACAGGCTAAAACAGTGTTGGAAACAGCCAAAACAAGTGAATAGATGTAAGAAGCTGCTTTAGTTGCGCAATTCAATTACCTGCTGCGGATTGGACTCATTGGACTCTAGTGTGTGTGGATTTTGGACGCCTTTCGCACCACTGTGCGCCCACATTGTGTGTGGCAAGCGTTGGCCCAACTGTGGCTAAGTTGCCAAATTCATATTTAAGCCACAGCTTCCCCGTTGCTGGGCGTTCGTAAGTGTGGCTAAAGTCAATGTGGTTATTACTTAAACACCGTGAATAGCCACGCAAAGTGGGGCTAAGACACAAAGTGACTGCACTTTTGAGTCCACTTGGACAGCTGTGCGGGAACACAGCCCACAACAGCCACAGAAATTGTTGCAAAAATTAAAGTGAA